TTTGTAATTTTTTCAATATTTATAATTTCTGAATTGCAATAAATAATAATAATAGGTAATACGATTTATAATGTGTGACAACCTTAGATTGATTTAAAAATAAAAATAAAATAATTTGTTTTGTAGTTTTATATAAATTTGAAATGTCTAAATTATAAATTGTAATAAGAATAACTGCCTATTAATATATATAATTCATAATACTAAAATGASGTATCACCATTCACCAATGAAAAAAAAGTGAGCCCCCCCAGAATAATTATCTGGATTCAACACTGGTCGTATTGATAACATATCACCACTAGACTAATGATTTACTTCAATTTTTTTTAATGGGCATTAAAAATCCTGTTTTTATTCTTTAATATAATATCAATAGCAATAATTTTATTATTACCATTACCATTATTATTGATTTTATGAAAGGCGGATAGCATTTACAACAATGTCATTTCAACTCTGTTGTAAATGCCAGAAATTACAGTGTTGCACACTACCAACGTTCAATGTTTTGTAATATCAGTATTTGATATATATTTAATTTCTATTATTATTATTTTTTTACAATCTTTGTTTTCATTATATTTTCAGGAATCATTCATTGATTTAACAAAGTTAATAAGATGCTTTATAAAACATTTACATTTGTATTCAAATTGTGCTAAGCATCAGCCAGTAGACAATTTAAAACTGTAAGGCCATTTTTATGTCAATAATTAATAAATATTATATTAAATGGTATATTTAACACTTTTAGAATATTGATGGCTCGTCATGGTATACAAATCTATCAGTATTTATCATATTATATGGTTAATTGGCCACAGGATTTTTCATTTCGCCTTTTACTTGAGAATTGGCTTTGTTACATTCAACCTTGGCGTTATGACGATTCATCTAAACAGTAATGATTATATATTAGAATACATTTACTTTTATACATTCAAATGTATTAATATTTTTTTTTTTTGTTCAGGCCATGTTCTATCACAGAATTAGAAATGAATGATAAATGGAGAATTTTTATCATCAGGAATTTACTGTGTTATACTAAATTATTTTATCTTGCTATAAAAAGATTCATTTGTATAGATGTGTGTTCACCAAGATATTCTATCATGGTTTATCGTATGCTAAAAGTGAATAACAGATGTTTTGTTAATTTATTAGTATAAAGTTTAATAATTATGAATTATCAAATTACTTTTATATAATATGCACACGAGTTTATGTATTTAGTTTTTTAATTATTATTTTTAAGGTTTTTACCCACCCATATTTACTGAAAATGATACTTGATATAGAACATATGTATACAAGCAACCAACCACAACATAAAAAATGGAATACACTATTGTCTGAATGTTTGATAGAAGCTGAAGGYCCATCRTTTAAATATGAACTAATGTTTTCAGAAGAACGTAATTGTGAAGTAAACAACTATTTTTGACTATTTTTTGATTTATCATTTATTTTATGTAATTAATTATAATAGTTATTATTTTGTTRAATATTCATTGTAAACTATCATGAGTGTATAATCTATACTTAAGCCAGCTATTTACATTATTTTTCATTTTATTATCTATTACCATATAGTAAAGTGTTATTACACATTGGTGATTATCACYGAATTATAAATATGGAATATGCATAGGACCATATTACTTGTGACATTATTAAATAGCAACATATTAATTCTGTTTTAATTTTATCACAAATTTCTATAGTTATTATATACTTAATATCAAAACCTATGATTATTCTTTATGAAACATATAAACATATGTAGATTCATTATTACTAAAAGTGTAATTAGTTGAATCAAAATAATGTCATCTCTGACATCTGATAAGGCKAGGCTTTTCAATGCATGAGTTATGTTATACAATGCACACTCCACGTTTATAGTTCGGTGGATAAGTAAATTAATCGTTATTATTAGTAATTTTGGTGAAAATACATTTTTTTTCTAATTTCAGTATAAATTATTTTATTTGAAACTACAAAAATCATTGGATCATGTTGCTGGAGAATTATGCCGCTATCAAGAAGACCAAATAGATAGAAATAATTCATCCATGTTGGAATTAATTTTAATGCCTAGAAAAAATAAAATGTCAGACTATACTCTCAATGAGTGGACAGATATTGAAACTAATCTTAAATCATCATTAATGTTCATGGAGCAAATTATTGTGAGTATTTGAGTATACCATACATTATATTATTCATACATTTTCTTTAAGAGGTATGTTTTACGTTTGTAAGACGGATACAGCGCATGTGGGTCCATCAACCTCTGACCTTAGATCACAAAACGTCTATTCTTTTAGAAACTTAGTCATTGCTTCAAAAATTTGAAATAATTTTGTGTGATCTTACCTAAGAACCATCTGATTATTTGATAAACTAAAATTAGTTACTACTCCTTTCTGTATACAATCTGATTTCAGTAATATTGAAATGTTCAAAGTTCATTACAAATCATAACTGTCTAAAATACAATGTGCAATCTAGACTATGAAATTTAAAAACATCTTAAATTTATGAAAACTCAATTTATTTTTCAATCGTGTTTCATAATAATTATTGGCCGATACACATTATTGATAGTAATAAATAATTATTATTATTATTTCAATTTATCGAGTTCTAATCGATACATTTCAATATATGGTCAAAAATACTGTATGCATTAAATCTTTTACATATTTGAAGTGCCTGTAATCAAGGGTTAAAAATAAATAATTTATATTTTGCTTTCTATATTTTAGAATGTTAATGTTACAACTATGCCAGTGTTAGCCGATTTGTCGGCGTGGTCTATTTCTGGTGTAAGTGGAAATAATACTACTTCTAGCATATTCAATAAAAGTCAATCTCTTGTTCAATCATTTGAACGTGTGAGTTTAAAAATTAATATTTTATATTGTTCATGAAAATTAATTAATTTTTATTTTCAGAACACTATGAGTTTATCTTTTAGACCTGTAATTCATGCGAAAGAATGGGAGATCGACCCAGATTTCTTGGAAACTTTATCCTATGAAAACTATTACCTTGTAAAATTAAGCAAATTTTTAAGAAATACTGTTGAGTTATATGTAAGTWGTGAAGTGTTTTAGAATTAATAAATTGTCTCTGGTTAAATTTAAAATATAGGTTTTATTTTTATAAGAGGACTTCGTTGCTGCTCAAGTTATTTCCATATTACAAATATTCCAATAGTACTAATAGTATATTTGTGTTTAGCCAAACCAATTTTGTAATGTAATATTCAATCTAAGTTTGAATTGATTAATTATCAGTTATCAAAGTAAATTAAAAACATAGACCGATGTAAAATTTAAAAATGCTCATTAAGTGTTTTAAAATTAAAATATTGTAAAACATAAAATTTTAAATTATTACTATTATTATTTATTTATTTATTTTTATTAAATTAAATTAATTTATTATCAACTATACAGAGCTCAAAATAACAAGTTTACAATGATATAATGAATCTATTTACCACTTGTAAGCAAGCTTRTGACCAAAACAAATATTTTTTAAATTTATTTTTCCTTAATGATATTAATCGTTTAATTTTTATAAACTATGTAGTTAAWAGACATTTTTTAGGAAATATATTACACTGTTATAAAATATTTATAATTTAACTTTAAATCATTATGTAAATAATAAACAATAAAATATAAATTAATTTTCATATTTTCATATTATAAAAAATGAATTATCGTGTAAATACATTTGATTAGTGATCTTTTTTTAATGTATAAACATTAACTAGTATACATTTTTAGACTTGTTTATAATCAATAATAACAGCTAGCCTATAATAAATAGAGGTTAAAATTGTTATGCTTTTAAAAATAAACGAAATATTAGGTATGATAACTTGTACAAGTAGGTAGAGCTTGATGATCTGTTGCTGTTAAAACTATGTATTGGCTGTCCTCGCAACAGTACCATTTCTCTCACTCTTATAATAAAACTCAAGTTCTTGATGCGTTTAGCACGATYACGCCTCCCAGTCCTTGTGGAATATGTTCCGTCTATTTCTATAAGTCTATGATTGTTACTTGTTAGTTGACTACTCTCTTAAGTATCAAAGAATTATAGTATATGTACATAGTATGTATATTTAATTTTATTTCTATATTTAATTTCTAAATTTCCATTAAGATGCCACATATTGTATTAACACATTTTGAATTAATAAGTAAATTTTATTTTATTTTCAGTTTAATACACACATACTACGTTTATCGACAGAAAATTCTATTCTTGCGGGCGTTCTGCGTCAAGCATTAATAAGGGAACCAATGAAAATATTTTCCTATGAGCCTAGAAATGATGGATCTGGAAAACGTGTCAGAACGCCTAAAATTCTTCCACCCACAATTAGTTTTCGGTGGATAGCATCATACTTTAATCTTTGTTGGATTTTATTTTTGTTGACATTAACTTTAGTATTTAACAAAACTGGTTTTTGGATTGGCCTGTTCTATGTCTTGCGTATTGTATATTTATGTCTAAAATATTTAATTGGGTATGCACCACCATTCAAGTGGGACAATATTCACGAAAACTAGTTTTTTATACATTTTTTTTTTTTGCATTTATCTTGCTAAATGTCATTTTTAAGTTAAATAACTAAATTTGTACTGAATTTAAACTTATTTCTATGATTATTGTTTTATACATTTGAATTGTTTCAAAACGTTTAGTTAAGTTAAATTTTTACATCTTTCTTAATTAACAACTTTAACTTACCATTAAAAAATTAGACAAAATAAAATAGTGTTTTGTATGACATTTTCCTATTAATTACTAATAATTAACCTATTAAATGTTAGTATATGATATTTTGTAAGTGTATTTTTATACAAATATAAAACAATGTACACTAAAACCTTTTCATAAGTAAATAGCTTGGTATCAACTGATATTTCTGTCATAAAGGCGTTTTCGTGATGCTGAAATTAAAATTTATGAGGTATAGGTTGTACAAGATTGTTGTTATTTTCTGCCATAAGGAGATTTCTTTCTAATAAGAAGGTTTTTCTGAATTACTATTACATTTTATGTTATGTGTCCTGGTGTACATTATTTAACTTAAACAAACACTGAAATAATTTAAAATAAGTATACTAATATACATAAGTACAGTTGTTTTTGCCAAAAATATAACATTTAATTATCATAATAACTCTACTATTCATTAAATCATATATTATAATCATTAAGTTCAACACTTACTCATATTAATATATCATAAATAACTGTAATTGAATTCTTGTGAGCACTTGGCATTATATATAATGGTTATATAAAATATATACAAATAAGCTTAAGTTGCTTACTACAACACCGAGGTGATGATTTGTACTTACAGCTGGGCATACACCTAGCAGTTTCATGACATTAAATTTTCAAGTTTTTTTGGTCGTTCAACATTTTTTTATCGACACTTCAAAAAAAATTCTCACAAAAATTGAAAATTTCAGTGGTCTATAAATAACTCRAAAAAATCAAACATTTTTGAAAATTAAACTGTATATAGATAACAATAACATAAGCATTTGGTGAAAATTTCAAGTATTTACAGTGATTGGTTTTTGAATTACAACCATATAAAAAATCGATTTGGTCGAAAACTGATTTTGCGT